ATGTGAGAGTGAAAGGATAGCTCCAGGCAACAAAGACTAAAACCCCAAAGCAGGAGAAGACAGTTCCGGTGGTCCTACAGCTGGGAAAGTCAGCTCCCAGCGTTTTTAGAATGTTGTGCCTCACAATAACTGATTGTACATGTATTTTTATAACCTTGTTAAAAATGAAGACTAAAGTAAACGTTACACATGTAGGCTCTGATTAACATACTTTGAAAATAAAGCATTCTTTAAAGGAGACTATAAAGAGTTCTATTGACGATATTCATTTAGGTAAAAAACACTTTATTAGGATATTCGGTCATAATCATGTGTTGCATTTATAACCTTTAAAGCCTCATTTGATCATATAATAGGCAAAAAAAAAAACGAGAGAAAACAGGATCAGAAAAGAATTTGTTTTAGAAAAAGGCACAAGCTAGAGGCACACAGTTAGTAAGCCCGCCTGAAATCCAATGTTGAGAGGTTAGAGCATAAATGTGAGTAGATGTGGTAAAAGCATTTTGGCCGTTCCTCAGTTTTCCCCTTCTTCTCTATATGCAACCCCAGTCCTTTCATTTTCCCTAACTTTCACACTAAGGGTCTTGGTTAAAGGGCTTCTTGTTTAAAATTACACTTTAGTGATATCTCACATTACGGAAATATACCTATCTTTCTGAAAGAAATAGAAAATGCTGTCAGAATTATTTTACATCTTTTTTGAAACACCAGGAAAATAGATAATCTATGAAATTGGTGAGGTTTTGTCCTGTTCAACTATTTCCAGAGAAATAAGATGCCCAAAATATATCCTAAATATTAGATGCGTGTAGGCAAAGATAAGGAATTGGTACAGGCAACTTACTGGAAATACTTTCAGCTTACGAAAACCAAAAAAAGATCCTGGTTGGTTTCCAAACTTTCGTTTAGGTTTTTATGCCCCCTAGTGGGTATTTGCCATTTCTGCAGTTGTAAAATAATGCTGATATTTTTATGGCACTTCCTTTGTGCAATATGTGCTCAAGCATTTATACTAACAATGTATGACATTGATTGACATGCCCTTACATATTCGAACCAAAGTGTTTAACATTAGTTGAACCAAAAACTTATGATAGTTTAGTAAAAGCTCTGAAAACTTTGAGGAAAATGTCTATGAAGACACACTCTCGTGGAGCTCTCTGACCCGCTTGACTTTTATCAAGTTCCTTAAGAATCCGTCCATTCCTGGTTAAGGTCCTCTAATGAAGGTGCAGCATCCTCTAGCTGCCCCTTTCTTTTAGTAAATGTGGAAATTATTAATGTTGAGAACAGTAGGAAAAGCAAAAGGGAAACCTACACTTTTAAAAGAATGGCGGCTAAAAATTTGGCTTAGACTTAAAGAAACAGGAGAGAACACAGAATAACTTTAAATAACTACGCATGTGAAATAATCCAAAAAAATTCTCAAGCTTTCAACGCAGCTAGGACAGTATAGGATTGATCCTACAGGCAAGAGAGGTGAAGACAAAACCAAAGCTTTTTAGGCAAACGTTGATTTTAAAATGTAAAAAAAAAAAAAATCTTCCTATTGTTGAAGTAATACTAGGGTCCCTCTGGCAAACAAGTTGCCTACCACAAGCAAGTGTTACATAGCAACACTTAAAAAAAAGTCATTTGCTATTTGTATACATTGCAGCTACTACAAAAATTAGCCATCAAACTAGGATCCTTCTAGAATGCCAAACTGATAGCAGAAAATCCATGAATAACTAGCTACTGAAACCCTAAGGAGTAGAATTATTATTTGAGAAGTGATCCAGCTTTCAGATCAGAAGAAATGATTTCGCAGACCTCTCTGACCAGTAGTTATGTCTAGGAGAAAATTCAAGCACAAAATCAGTAATTAAAATACACACACACACACACACACACACATCAGTTGATAGATTTTACCAGGTTATTATTATACATATCACTTCATTTAATTTTTTTAAGGATACTGTCTTGGTCCACTCAGGCTGCTATAACAAAATACCACAGACTTGGTAGTTTATAAAAAACAAAAATGTATTTCTCACAGTTCTGGAGGCTGAGAAGTTCAAGATATCATGTGACCAACAGGTTCAGTGAGGGCTCGTTTCCGGGTTCATAGACTGCCCTTCTTGCTCTGAACTCACATGGTGGAAGGGGCTAAGGAGCTGTGTAGGGTCTCTTTTTATAAGCCCAACGATCCCATTTGTGAGGGCTCTGCTCTTGTGACCTAATCACCTCCCAAAGCCTCCACCTCTGAATATCATCCTATTAAGCGTTAGGATTTCAAGGTATGAATTTGGGGGAGACACATTCAGACGTATCATAGCCGATTACCTGTTTTTCAAATACTTCCATTTCCAAATACAGATTCATGTCCCATACGAAGTTGCGGGGTTTTGTTTTTGTTTTCACCAAACGTGGTAGCTTTTACTGAGCCAGCACCTGCCCTAGACGATGCACAGGATGCTCCTGGAGTTCTGTGCAGGTGCACAGGATCCATTCACTCGATTCCTTCCACCTAGCAATTCAAGACGTTTTCATTGTGAACAAGAGAAAGGGAGAGCACAAGATTGAATTACAGTAAGCATTGAGGTTTACATTTAAATCAGCATTTCCTTCCTGTTATATGTAGATCTTTTCTACCTTCCGGAGTGTTGATAAAATACATGGCTTTTGTTTTCTTAGTATCCATGGGAAGTAGTTTCACAGATGAAAAGTCATTCCTTAGCTGGGGAGGTTTGCTTATATAACATCTCTCCTTTATAAAATGAGCCTACATTTATACTCTTCGAATAAAAAGAGAAGAAAAAAAATAGAAACTATATGAATAGGACGAGGAAGCTAACAGTATTGCTTAAGAAAATTCCAGGAAATATTTCTCCATTTGAGATCTAAAGACAACTGTACTTGAGGCATATGATTGCTGGACAAATGCCAAAAGGGGGAAAATTGAGTGGATATAATAAAATTTGGTTTACAATGTATTATGTTTAAAAAATTACACACACTGGAGCGCCTGGGTGGCTCAGTTGGTTGACCTCTGCCTTTGGTTCAGGTCATGATCTCAGGGTCCTGGGATCGAGCCCCATGTCAGGCTCTCTGCTCAGTGGGGAGCCTGCTTCTCCCTCTGCCCTCTGCTCCCAGCTTGTGCTCTCTCTCTCTCTCTCAAATAAATAAATAAAATCTTTTAAAAAGTTACACACACTTTCTATTTTCATATTACTTGATAAACTGGGAAGATGGATGGATGGATGGATGGATGGATGGATGGAAGGAAGATATAGGCATTCTATTTGTTTGTCTGAATTAACCAGATTTAGCCACTTTTCTGTCATTGAGTGCATGCCACAATTTAAGTACTTTGCAGAAACTTTTGGTTGACATCTGAGATCGAAATCTTCAAGAACCAATAGTGGAATTTTTTCTGGGGAATCGGTCTTCTGTTTAATAGGGTCTTTAACATGTGGCAAAAGATATTTTAATTAAGTATTTTAGGCAGTATGTGCAAATTTAGAATTAATATTTTTATGTGAATGATACCTCCATGTTGTACCTTTTTAACTGATATGAGGAGGGAAAGAGGCAACAAACCTAAGGTTTGACAGATGTCCAGGATGAAAACAAAAAAGCAGAAAGAAACTGGACTGGCTCTACATGGTGAATGGAAGAGCAAAGTGGGAAAAGTGAGAAGCAGAGCAAAGTAAAAAGGTGGGGAAACTTCCTTTCAATATACAAAGTTCAAGTCTGCGTATTTCTAGTATGTAAAACTTTTGGAGAGTGATTCTTTTATACTATGCCATCCTTTCTCCTGTTTTCTTCTTTTAGGAATTCAGTATTTATCTTAGTAGACCTTAAAAGCCCCTTATAACCTTTTAACAAATTTTCTTTAAATATAGAAAAAAAAATGTCTCTGTGAAAAACAAAACCACGTCTACATAATTTTTTGATGTCAATCTTTTTGGGAAAGGGGTGTTTGAAGACTGGGGACTTCAGATTAAATTCTGTAGAAAAACAGAAAGACTAGAATATATAATATCACGGGGCTTAGCACTCATTTAAAGATGGGGGTCAGGAAAAATGAGGTGTGTTTTTACACGGAATGAAAAGAATAAAATGCCAACCAGTAAACAAAATGCCTCGGATAGAAATCATCATTAAAAGATGGAAGTATTGTAGGCAACACATAAACTACAGGATCATTTAGCTGAGCTGAGTGTCACCTCTCATTATGAAGCTTTCTCTTCTACGCCTTTCCTCCATCATTGTGAGATAGGATTCCTGAGCTGTATAACGCTATTTTGCTTCTTACTAGGAGTTTGAATACTAGTTAAAAGAGCCTTTGTTAAACAAAGGGAAGCAGCTGATTTTGCCAGAGAGCTATTTCCTATCCCCAGTAGATTCTGGGCCCAATTTTAAGTTTGCAGATAAAAATTACCTGTTTCCATTCTCAAGGTGATTCCTAAGTGAGAAGAGAGACAAATGGACAACGGTAAGACCAGATACAAACCACGCTGGGTATTTGTCGTGATTCTCCGACGTAGTTGAACTAGTGAAATACGCTTAATTTTGCAAAGAGAAACAACAGTCCAATCTTAAGAGCAGGAGGCAGAGCAGAAAGAGCCGTAGATACAGTACGGGGGCGGGGAGGGGAGAATGTGGAGGGAGGCAGCGTGTGCTCCTCCGGGATCAGCCTGAGGGGGTCCCACAGAGCAGTCAGGGGCAACCTCCTAGCAGCTCGCTGGCCGCACCCTCGAGCACCCCCACCGCGGCCCCCTGCCCGCACCCACGGGCACCCCCACCGCGGCCCCCTGCCCGCACCCACGGGCACCCCCACCGCGGCCCCCTGCCCGCACCCAGGCACGCCCACCGCAGCCCCCTGCCTGCCCTGCTCCCCATGCCCTCCTCACATCTCCCTCTGCCCCAGCCTCACAACAGCGGAGCCCTGGGGCCCATCCTCATTTTCTGTATCATGAAAAGCATCTGTCCTTTTACTCAAGAGTAAAACGATGGGAGGAGATGTCCCCACCAATGAGCACTTTGTTGTCCCACCCACGGTCCCTTTGCACCATGATCACGGAAGGTGTGGCCAGTTCCCCTCAAGCGCTTACCTTTGCTTTCCTGATTGTGAAGGAAATTTGAATTGTAAAACAAATATGGTGGAGGTAAATAATAAATACTGAATTTGATGCAGATTAGCACAGCTTTATGACATTAAAGCACTCCTATCTGTTATCTCTCTTCCCTTACGGGTCCTTCTAGGCTGAATTTTCTGCCTTTCGGCAAGCTGGCTCACATCTTTACTTTCTATCCCCTTGTTACAAAATGAACAAGAAATTTCACTTTACTCATTTTTTTCCTCTCTGAGTAACAAGTTCACTTTCTGCTTTATTTATTTATATTAGAATCTGTTTACATTCAAAAAGGATTTGCAATGATTATTTCTCTAGTTGAATCCTGGGCACCTTGTCAAAAATTGCTTTCCCAGGAAAACCTGCTTTATCAATTGGCTCAGAATCCCTTTGACTGAATCCCTCAGTTTATTTTCTCCCTTCTTCTTTTAGGTAAAGACTTTCTGAACGTATGATTATCTTCCATCCCTACCACCACCACCACCTGCTGCCTGAACTTACCAGCCTTCTGTCTTCTTAAAATCTTACTGAGTTTTGGGTCCATACCACACAGTTTAGCCCTTAATTTTCTCTAATAATTACAAGAGTGCTGGCCTTGCCTACTCTATGATACAGTGAGCCTAGGATACAAAAAGTAGCTTATAAATAGTAATTTTAAAAAATCTCTTAGAGGAAGACAGGAAAAACTTTATTTTGGATTCATTTCACTATCTTATTTATTTTATTTTATTTTATGTATTTATATCTTACAGAGTTTATTTGAATCACATGGGTTCAATGCTTGTTTATTCTGGCCACAACAAATATAGCTGAATTTTATTTATTTTCCCTTTTGAGAAACACTTTCTAGACCCTGCTTGGTAGACCTTGAAATCAAATCCCTTTTTTGAAAAGCAGCTTGTATGTGTGTATGTGTGTGTGTTTTAGTCCTTTTCCAGGACCTACTGTATAATCGGTGCAAAGAGAAAAAAAGAGGTCAATAAAATATGACTGGGCACTCAGTGTGAACTGTGGCAAACATAGAAGTTGGCTCACATGCACACAGCATTGTATAAAAAGTTGATCTTCCAATTCCATTGACAGATCCCTATAGTAAGAAAGTCCTCACGACTTTTTTGCTCACCTTATAAATTCTTTTATGTGTGACTGTTTCCTTACTAACAAACCTCAGATTATGATTTACCTTCCCGGATGGACTACAGAAAGAGACCTTGTTGGGGCACCCAAGTGGCTCAGTTGGATAAGCAGCTGCCTTCCACTCGGGTCATAATCCCAGAGTCCTGGGCTCGGGTCGTGATCCTGGAGCCCTGGGATAGAGCCCCACATCGCCTGCTTCTCCCTCTGCCCCTCCCCTTGCTCATGTGCTCTCTGGCGTGCTCTCTCTCAAATGAATAAAATCTTAAAAAAAAGAAAGAAAGAAAGAAAGAAAGAAAGAAAGAAAGAAAGAAAGAAAGAAAGAAAGAAAGAAAGAAAGAAAGAAACCCTGTTTCATATGGACACAGCATTCCAATTCCTGGGTTTTTTTCTATTTTTTTGTTTGTTTGTTTTACTATAAATTAATTCTGTCGTTCTAATGCCAAAACTTTGTGGGAATTTTAGTTACAGTGAATTAGCTCAACTGCTGATCACCGCAAAACACTGACAAGAATGAGTAACTGAGCCTTCAAAACAAGGACCAGAACCTGTAATGGGGTCGCCAAATGTGCTAGTCAGTAGAGCCTGCTGTCACTGTCACCTCCCTTTCCTGGACCAATCCCTCTGCAACTTTCCTTTCTATATTGACACACAAATGTGTTCCCATAAAACAATGTTAGAGTGATCATTACCTAGGCCACCCTTCAGGATACAATGCAACCTCAAGTCCTCCTAAACCTCCTTGAGTCTGGATTCCAATACCTGAGCTCGTCTCAGAGTGTTGAGCACCCCAGAGCCTCAAAGTGAACATGGAGTAGTTAGGGCTCTACAGGCATAGCTCGGTAACTTCTGCAGTCCTATGATCAAAAGGTCTTCTTGCTCCCTTCCCAGGGATGAATCCTTAGAAGAACTCTGTATCAGTAAGGTAGAGAAAAATGGATTCTTCAACTAATATTTATTAAGAGCCTGCTTTGTGCTGGTGAGACACTCAATAGAGCAGATCCTGTTTTGTGGACGTTATATTCTAATGATAGCAGGGCAAGTGGGTAGTCAAAAAATAAATATGTTAATAAATTATAAAATATCATGTGTTAACAGTACTGTGAAGGCTCTTCAATGGGGAAATGTTATCGAGAATGACTAGGGGAGAGAATAAGACCACTGTGGATAAGGTAGCCAGAAAATAACGTACGGAATGGACACATGTAAGCCTCAACCTGAATAATGATGGTCTGGTGTCCGCACATGTGAACAGAAAGCCAGATGGCCAGTGTGGCTGGAGGACAGTGGACTTGGTGTGAAATACAGGCAGTAATTAAACAATATGGGCTCTCGGAGATGAACATGAGGAGTTTGGATTTATTTTAGTTCCAAATCTATTAGAAGGTTTAAGCAAAGTAGCAACAGTCCAATCTCCATTCTAAAACCGTAACTCCGGCTACTATGTTGGCATGAATTGTAAAGTGGGAAATATGGAAGAGAGAGTCCAGGTAAGAAGATACATCTACCCATGGCTCTGGCAAGGGATGGGGATAGCTTGGATTGTTGTGGTAAAATGGAGGTTAAGGAAAGAGACCCAAATGGGACATAATTTGGTTGGGTCAGTGATAACAAGACCAGCTCAGAAATGAGATGCAGGGACTCTTTCAAGTTTGGTGTGAGCAACTGGGTGGTTTGCAGTTCCATGTAACTGGAGGTGATAGACTGTGGGAGGAACAGGTTTGAGGGTGGCAGAAATAAGAGGTCCTTTTTGGCTAATTTGTCTTAATTGGCTCTTAATAGGTTCTTAAAAAATCCAGGGGTAGGAAAAGTAGACCAGACCACTGAAGATATGAGTCTGATTTTCAAGATAGGCATCAGGGCTGTCAACATAAATTAGGGCATCGGCAGCATATAGGTAACTGCCAACTATGAGACAGGATGAAATCACATAGGAAAGGGTTTATATGGAGACAGTAAGAGTCTGAGACCCACGTTACCCCAGGATTTAGAAATCAAATAAGGGGGGGAAAGCCAGAAAAGAAGATGGAGAAGTAGCCAATGAGGTAGGAGGACCACAAAGGGAATTTTCTAATACTGAAGCCAAAAGAAAGTGTTGCAAGGAGAGAGAAAACTAATTAAATACAAATGAGAGATTGAATAAAATCATCATGGAGAAATGACCACTGGAGTTAACAAGTGAAGGTCAACGAGACCTTGGAAAATTTGTTTTTTAAGTGATTATATTTGACAAAAGGAATGTGCTATACAACTTTTTCTACTTGAATTTCGTAACCAATCTAATGCTGAAAAAATTAAGTGGAAAAGGATGTTATCTAGATTATAAAATTCAGCATGGAAATACTGACTATAAATAAATATAAAGAACTTTGCCATATTATATAAAGGACAAATTGAAGAGCTATCATTACATCATCTGGCTTAAAATATTTTCCAATCAAAGAGATATCTAAATGTTATAATCAATTCCTGCAAGATTGAAAGATAATTTTTTTATATTCAGATATTCATAATTTCTGGTTTATTAAAGTCTTAACCCATGTATATTGTCATCATGAAATAGAGATAGATTGGTCCAAAAGAATCATTTGAATTAAGGTAAAAAGCTATTTGTGGCAGGCAGAAATAACTTTCTGTGACTTAAAACCTTACTTTTTTTCTCTAACCCAGGTATGGGGACATGGTACCAAAAACCATAGCAGGGAAGATTTTTGGTTCCATCTGTTCGCTGAGTGGGGTCTTGGTCATTGCTCTTCCTGTTCCGGTGATTGTATCTAACTTCAGTCGGATCTACCACCAAAATCAACGAGCAGACAAACGGAGAGCACAGAAGGTGTGTATTCAGCTCTGGGCTGCCATGATTTAGCATCTCCCACTTTTTATAGTGAGCTTTACAATCCATTACTGGCTATTCAGTGTTCCAGATTCCGTCCATAGTTGCATCAGTCAGCACAAGCTAGGTTATACCACAGTAAAAAAAAAAGAACCTTAATATCTCAGTGGCTTAAAACAACAAGGAATATTTCTCAGTCATGCTGCAGGTCCATTACTGGTCCAGCGATAGAAACTCCCATCTTGACAAAATACTTCTGCAATCATTCAAGCAGGGGTAACAGGACATGATGAATCACAATGACTCCTAAAACCTCCTCCTGGAAGTGGGCCAGCTCACTTCCATTTCTACTGCACTAGCCAAAGTAAGTCACATAGCCATGTGTAACTTCAAAGTGGGCAGAGAAATATAATCCTACTATGCAATCAGAGGCAGAGAGAAAGAATTATCTAGTAAACAGCACTAATGATGGCAGTAAAATCAAAGATAGATTCTTGGCAAATTTTATCAGAATCAGATTTCTAGATCTGATTCATTTAGTCTCTATCCATCAGGGGTCAAGCTGGTTCCAGTAGACCAGGACTATTAAAAGGAACAAAGATATGTCTCAGATATTTTAAATAGTTGACCCAGGAAGTAGGAGAAATCTGATCATTAGTAGCTGAGTTTTATTCCTGGCCCAGCAGTTTACAGTTTCTCTGAACTTCTTGCCAGCTATTAATCCCCCTACAAGTAAGCAGGATGCATACTCAACTGTAAAAGGGGGAAAACATACCTACCTCACAAAAAGATTAAGAACATACGCAAATGTATATAAATCTATGTGAGCATATCATAATACTAACCATATCTAACATTTATTGCTGGGTTACTATGTGCCAGGTACTGGTTTGATGTTTTTAAAAAATAATTCATATTGTCTTCATGAGTCTAGGAGTAAGTTGTTATTATTATTCCTATTTTTTAGATGAGGATCCTAAGGTATCCAGAAATTGAGAAATTCTGAGGGCACATACTCAATAAATTACAAAACCATTCATTCAATCCAAGCCCACCAGGCTCCCAGGTTCATACGCTTAAACATTATGGGAGATTGCTTCTCAGAAAAACTAAATGTTAGCAAACTCCCTTCCCCGATTTTTGTCAAAATAAGTCATTTTACTGTCAGGGTCCTTGCTACCTAGAAATAATTTTGGAAATCTCTTTTATTGTTTCTCAGGACGGTGGTGCTAGATTTCCAGTATTCTTCACAGATACAATATCATTGTCCTTTATGGATAGATTTTTTTTTAATTTCCAAAAACTATTCCAAACCATGACTGTGGATACACAATCCTGGTAATGTAGTATAACTATAAAATATCATGAGAGATTTGGGTCCAGTTCATAACTGGCTTTGTAGGTAATTCCAGAACAGAATTTTAAGTATATTGTCCAGAGAACATGTTCATGTCCACCATTGCAGATCCTCTTCCGTTTGCAAAGAATCACTTTTTCAGCCTTGCCCTTTCTTGCTTCCCAAAATCCCCCTTTTTTGGACAGGTACCCAGCCTTTAACTAATTATGTTAGAGAATAGAATAATCCAATTAATATGAATATATGGAACTGCTAATTCAACAAACAGAAGTTAGCAAAAGGCACCCTCTGAGCAGTTGGAGTCTCATGTTAGGCATATCTTTGGCAAGCAGAAGTGGAGAAATTTTAGCCACAGTTGGACCTTCCACCAGGGACTTTCATGCACACAACTGTGGCTCTGTCCACACATTGCAGTCTTTCTCCTGGGCACACATGTACATTGTTTAAAATAACAAAAATCCCACAAAAAACTTAGTTTCCCAGGACCCATTCATCTCCATTCTAGAAACATTTTCTTTGATATAAGAGCCACCTATAATTCATTTCCCCAATGTAAAAAAAAAAAAAAAAGAAAGAAAGAAAGAAAAAAGCTACCTATATGGAAACTGCAGGAAGTACAAATCTGATTTTCAAATAAATTGAACTCCAAAATATCTGCATTTTCTTCAGACTTTGTCATCTGCAACAAGCACATCAGTAAAGAAAATCTTACAATAATTTAGAAATCTTTTTGCACAAATAAATTCAGAATGCAAAAATATATGAATAAGATTTTCTAAATACTGAATAATATATTTTTAAATCATATTTGTATATCATAATTACTAAAGAAATTAATAAAACCAAATATAATAACCTAATGAGATATGTCCAGTAAATACTCTGTGATCAATAAACTGATCAGAGTTATCTATGAAAGAACGGTGCATATGGAACTACGTTTCCTATTTTCTTTCCCAAGAGATTTAAAAAAAAAAACAAAGAAACAGAATAAATACTCCTTAAGAGAGTTTAGGTTTATCTGGAACTGGGTGATTTAACAAATATCAAATTTATGAAAAAAATGGCCAGCTAATTCAATCAAGGAAACAGTCCATTCAGTAAAAACATCAGTCAAGCTAAATAATAAGGAATATTACAAATGTTTTTTAGAATATTTTTTGGTGTTTGGTCCCATTTTCAACTCCAAGCTCAAGCGAAGGTGTGAAATATATACAATATGCATTTGAGAACATTCCCCTGAGCATTTAGGGATACTTCCCTTCTTCTAGGCTCTTCCCCCAGCAAGTACTCTTCCTGCTTTCACTACCTGTCCCCACTCTTAAAAAGAATGCATCATTTACCCATTTCTAGCCATCTTTGATCATTTCTTAACTAAACACTGACCTTTGGGTGAATATAGAACTGTGACATATCTCCTTCAACCCCCATTGGTAATTTTGTTTTAATAGATTTATTTATTCACTCAGTTATTCAAAAAGTATTTATTGAGTAGAAAGTGTTTTGCCAAAATAAAGCTGAGTTGATACAGTGACATTTGGTAGGGTTGATATTTTGAGGCAGGGAACCTACCCTGCTTTAAGTTACAAATCACACCAGTCTATCATCTGCATATTTACAAGGCTAACTTGTAAGTAATTATGTATAATAGTAATAGTAATTGGGGCGCCTGGGTGGCTCAGTCGTTAAGCGTCTGCCTTCGGCTCAGGTCATGATCCCAGGGTCCTGGGATCGAGTCCCACATCGGGCTCCCTGCTCAGCGGGAAGCCTGCTTCTCCCTCTCCCACTCCCCCTGCTTGTGTTCCTACTCTCACTGTCTCTCTTTGTCAAATAAATAAATAAAATCTTTAAAAAAAAAAAAAACTGCCACAGTAAGGACAAAGCTAAAATCTTTAAAAAAAAATAGTAATAGTAATTATAATTTTTAATAGTGCTAAGAGCAAAAACAACCCTCTCTAGATTTTCTAGTATATCCCAAGTGCTTTATATTCGTTATTTATATTTTCACAATCAACTCACAGAAGTGTTATTAATTCCATTTTCCAGATGACATGCTTATGCTTATACACCTATTGATTAAAGTCTAAGACAAGAAAATTCTGGCATCATTAGAGCTATGTATCTTTAGGAATTTTCCTATGGATAATTCTAAATACAGTGAGAAGTTTCGAATCAATGAGCCAATGTACAGCCAAGGTACAATGAACGTAAATTTTTTTACTTGTCACATAAAGATGTTGACATTGATACAGAAAGAATTTACCAATACTCATTTATCACACTTTACTCTGGTGGTTCTCAAACTTTAGATTCATTGGAATCATCTGACGAGCTTGTTAAAATACAGATTGTTAGACCCACCCCCAAAGCATTTGATTCAGTAATTGGGATTACAGTCTAAAAATGTGCATTTCTAACAAGTTGCTAAGTGATAGTGATCCTGCTGGTCTGGGAACCATACTTTGAGAAACATTTGTCTAGGACATTCATTAATGTCCAAATAAAATAATTTTTATAGCATTCTAGAATAATTAAAATAAGTAATACCCTGTTAGAGCCTGCGTATGATCTCTCTTAGATTATCCAGTATTAAAAAGTATCACTCGGTCTCTACACCATATCTCTGTGGATAGCTAGATTTTATTGTCTGTAGTTTAAGAACCCCCATTATCAACACATGTAAGAATCTGGACATTATATACTTCTTGATCCACTCTGTGTTTCAGCCTTATTGAATTACCTACTTCTGCCCTTAAGTCTCCATTCCATTCCATACCGCCTAATGTAGCCACCTGCAAACTCCTACTCAGAGTGCAACACTCAGCTCACATATCACCCATTTAATGAAAATTTTCCTAAATGATGTGGACACCATTAATTGCTCTATTTTCTCTTCTCCCACAATATTATGCATACTCTGTTATCATGTATTACGCTATATTCTCATCCATTCTTCTGAGTGCAGTGCCTGGCATAAAATAGGATCTAATATTTGTGTAATAAGGAAAGAATGAACAACGAGGTCTTGTTCACCTTGACAGCGTCCTCCATTTCTAGCATAGGGTGGACATTCTGAGGACCAGTTGAAAACAATGTTAGGAAGAATGATTTTTTATCTCTGGTGCCCTCCTACATCTTTCAGTTCTTACCTCTTCCCACTTAGAGAACTCTCGTTGCCCTCTCTCTCACTGACCCATACAGTGTCCCTTCCACTGACCCAAATGCCAACACGGGTTCTACCCAGCCCTGCCATCACCAGAATTCACCGAGCTCCAGAACCAGGTGGAAATCTTGTACTATCTTCCACTGATTTCCTCCCTCTCTCTCTTTTTATTAGTATTTGGCACTAAACTGCCTCATTTCCAGGAGAGCTATTTACCTTAACAAATGGAAAGATTCCAATAAATGTCTTAAATTTGTAAAAGCTGATAAAGTTAATATGCTACCTCCACATGAGGCATTTTACTGAACCTTAAATGAAAGAAACAAGTCGAAGTAAAATTTCCAGAATAAATGGTACATGCAGTATGTGGGCTGATGTTTGAGGAGTAGCGAAGGCCTTTCTCCTCACATTATAAAGGAGAAAGGCCTTCGCTACCTCCCTTTGAAAGCTACCTAGGATACCTTTATTTTTCAAAAGTATTGAAAACAGTTTGTGATTTGGCAGCAACATGGTCCAATAACTTCTCACTATCTACCTCATACCTCATTTAGAAGATAGATCGCATTTAAGAACACTGCTATCTCAACAGTTTTTGGCTTATACTGTACATATTTCTCTGACTGGGTCCCCTGCCTCTGGTCCAGAGAATACATTGTAAAGTTATGTAATGTCGTTTGGTGCAATTAAAAAACAATCTACTTGCTGAAAAACTGCTACATACTAGCCTCTGACTACTCCACAATAAAAGGATTCTGTGTCAAATTAGCTTGAGAAAAATTATATACTATATCCCCCCCTTTTGTCTTCACAATGAACATCCACAATGTATGTTGTAAGGAATCTAACAGCAGAGAAACCTGTTTAACCTCTCAGCATTTCCCAAATTTTCTTGACCACAGAACCAGTTGTTCATTTCATTAGGTTGTTTGGATTTTACCCATAACACTTACTAGTTCCTTGAAACCCAATTTTGAGAAATCTTTCTGAGTTTAGAGAATTAAGAAGAAAACTGAACTTATGAAGAATTGAGATGTATGGGGAAAATGTGCTTATGGGACAATTTATTTTTCCCAACACCACTGATGTTTCTCAAGGCAGATAAAGAATTCAGAAAATAACTTCAAAGCTATTTTTTTTACACAGACAATATAAGCCTTTCGGTTTAATTAAAAATTTGGAAGCCTCCTATTTTCCAAATAGGCTAAAGTATTTACTGAAACCTTCCTCTCATTCCATAATATTTGCTGGTACTTGGCATGGCCAAGAAGTTGTATTTCCTACAAAACTGGGGGAGGGGTCTATGAGGAATACATTTCCTTTTACTAGTGGATGGTTTTCTTTTAACCTCCCATTTGCACAGCCACAGTTGCCAAGATTGTCATACTGAGTGGGTCAAAAGGAAAGTGATTTTCTAAAATACCTTTGTAAAAGAAATTTCCTCAATTACCTACCGAAAGCAAAGATGTAATCACAGGTCATAAAAGCTAGCATTATCCAACAGACATTTGGTGTGGTGCTCCACAAGACCAATTAAACCAATTAAGTCATACAGTATTGTTGTAAAATGAAAGAAAAATCGTGATTGAAATTGAGATGGGAGGTTTTTTCTAACATAGTACATGGCTTAGCAAAATGGCTATTCTGTCTCTAAAACAACTGCTTCTTTTTTCCTAAGCTTAGAACGACTTCTGTGGCAGTGGTCACCACCGTATGTAGGCTTTCCAATGTGGGAAATGCATGTCATTTTCCTTTGCTGGACAGTATTTTTGGTTAATGTAAATAAATTTCTCATTTATAAAAAAAATGTTTTCTAATACAGCTGCTAAATGCTTGGAGAATGACATAGGTGACACTAGTAGCTATGATATAGGCAAAGCAATTATATGCAGCAGTTATCAAAGGAAGGAAAAAAGGAGGGAGGGAGGGAAGGAGAAAGGAAGCGAAGGAGAAAGGGAGGGAGCAGAGACGAGCATCGGGAACAATGAGACCAGAAAAGGCACTGAATGTTTCAGGAAACCAGTGAGACTTTAGGATTCAAATTTCAGCAATAATCCTTTTCTGGAAACCAAAGTATATTTAAATTGCTTATTTCTGAATTGTTACATCAATTCAAAGTCATTTCCAAGGTGCTTGTCACTTCCCATTGTTTTATCAAGACTGACCTGAAATCCTGGTTGCGCAGCACAGCTTTTGAAGTTAAAAATTTCCTACCTTCCACCTTCATTCTCTTGTATTGACTCAGTCCTTTGAGTGATCTAAACAGTATGCTGTCAACAAAGAGTGAAATTTGTCTATTTTTCTCATCATTTATAAATATGATCTTTGTACAAAGTATTATTTTAACCTGGAATCAGCAAACAGGGAGAATAAATTCAGAGGAAGAGAGAAAGGGTGGAGTCGAGGCCCAGATGATATCTGAATGCTATTTTGAGAGCTTCAGACAGTCTCAGTGCTACTCTCAAACCCTGTGAGTGGAAGGGCATCTTGGTACAACTTTGGAGGGAAGTTTGGTAAAACCTATCAAACAAAACACATACGCACACCCTTTGATCTAGGAATAGTTCTGCTTCTGGAAATTGTCTTGCAGATAAATTCATCATGATGAATGTTCAAGGCAGGCAGTACAAGCAAAAGAGGCTTTAAAAAATTAATGGTAGTTAGCTGGCTAAATAAACGGTGCTTTATTCATTGGTATATTATATATTTGTAATGAATGAGATGGATCTATATATGTAGATACGGAAGGAGTTCCAATCTGGATTAAATGAAAACACCTGAGTACAAAGGAGTGGGAGGCGTATTGTCCCAACTGAGTAAAAATATGTGTGTATAGATGTATGATTACATATATGTATATATACATATATATATGTATGTATGTATACACACACACACACACACACACACACACACACACTTACTTTTATATGCCTAGAAAATTTCTGGCAAGATTCTCTAGAAATATCACCAGTTGTTCCCCTGAAGTATAGAATTAAGGGCAGCTCCAGGGTCCAGAGAGACTTACTTATTTTGATGAACTTTCATATTAATAAAATTTTGTCATATGTATATATTCATTTTCCATTTAAAAAATCTAGATAATTTTTAAATTTTTATGAAAAATTATCTAGATAATTTTTAAATTTTTATGAAAAATTATCTAGATAATTTTTAAATTTTTATGAAAAATTATCTAGATAATTTT